GCAGCCGACGAACACGCAGCCGAGGACAAGGTGACGGACCCAAGCGTTCTCACATCCTCCACGAGCCAATACGAAGACAGCTCCAGGAGGGAAAAGAACCGCAAGGCCGAAGCCAAAAGGCCCCAGGCGTGCAAGTCCTCCGCAACGAGTGCCGCCGAAAGGGTGGGAACCTGCACATGGATCTGAATAACGCCCACATCGCGGGGAAGGGCAGGGGCAAACAAGCACTCATTCAGGTACTCAAGCTCGCCCCCCAGGAAAACCTGAAGCACCGTGGAAGCTTCCCGCCACTCCAGCGTGCAGGAACGACAGAAGGAATGCCAGGAATCCAGAACAAACAAGGGGCAGTCTGCTAGCCAGGACGACTCCGGAACCTCGTAACGCAGCCAGAAAAGGAAGGAAGTCCCAAACCTGAATTCGGACAGATCCATTTCCGAGGCATAATCCGGGTCACGCAGGAGGTAAGCTGCAAAGGCCGCTCGCACCACACCAGGTTGGATGCGATAAGCCGAAAACCTCCAGAAGGACGGAACCAATGTACCCGGGAGAACACGGAACCGAACCCGGGGAGGGGCCGACATCAAATCTAACTCGTACTCAGAGGGGGGGAAAAGAAAACCCCACTCCTTGTAACAATAAGCCCCGCTCAGAGGGAGGAAAAACCCAGGCGGGGTCCAGCGGGGCCCAAGGCCCCCAAGTCAGCCCCTCCCCAGCCTCGAGGTCCTTCACCACAGGACCCGAGGCCGAGTCCTCTCCCCAAGCCCCGACCCCACAAGACAAGGACGGAGCAGCCAGAAAAGCTGGAGGAAGGGGGCCCACTGGTCAGACCCCGAAGCTTCGGCCGGGAGACAAGACTCGAATGCCTCTGCCGCCCCCCTGGAAGGGGCACCCCCCGAAGCTGCCCGAGTCTCAAGATCAAATAACCCCTGCTCCGACCCCGAAACCCCCTTCCGCCTCTCGCGATTGCAGAGTTCGACCCCCGGGGGCCTTGCATCGGTTACTGCGTCACCGGCTTCCTCTTCGGGTTTTTCGGGGTTCAGTGCCTTGGCGCCTACCCGAGCCCTCGCTCGATGAGTACACGGATGCGTCGTCTCTCGGATGGGGTTTTGTGACCAGTGCTCACCAGGCCGGCCAGGGGCGTTGGGGTCCGTCCTTCTGTCAAGCTCACAGCACGGTGCGGGAGTTCGCGGCAGTGTGGTTTGCTCTGGGGAGGATTCGGGTGGCCCGCAGATCGACAATTCGGCTCCATTCGGACTGCTCTCTGGTGGTTCATTGCCTGAACCGCGGGGGTTCGATGCGGTCCTTGTCTCTTTTGGGTTGGTCGCTTCGGGTGATTCGTCTGCTGAGTTCTCGGGGTTTGGCTCTCCTGGCGGTTCACGTACGGGGCGTGTCCAATGTCTTGGCCGACGCCCTGTCTCGCTTCGTTCCCATATCCTCGGGGTGGATGGTCGACGATGAGTCCTTCCGTTGGCTTTGCCAGACGTTCGGGCGCCCCGAGGTGGACCTCTTCGCGTCGGCGTGGTCGCGGCGTCTTCCCGTTTATGCGGCGCCCTTCCCCGATCGCGAGGCCGTCGGGGTCGATGCCTTTCGGCTAGACTGGTCGAGGTGGGGTTTCCTGTACCTCTTTCCTCCAGTTCGGCTGTTGCTCCAGGTCCTGACTCGCTTAAAGACTTACCAGGGGAGAGTTGTCCTTCTGGCCCCTTGGTGGCCGGCCCAGCCTTGGTTTCAGGCGCTGGTTGCTCGGTGTCCGAACCCGAGAGTTTTCCCGCGGCTCCGCCTCTTTCAGCAGATCGGGCCGGTACGTCACGTGGCTGGTTCGATCTTCTCCTCGAGTCTTCGTGTATGGGTATTTTGACTCTAGTCTATTATCATCTCTATGGTGATCAGGTGGCCTCCTTGTTGGTGTCCCACCTGAGGGCTTCTTCTCGGCGGCAGTATGAAGTTTCCTGGCGGTCCTTCTGTTTCTTTTTGTGTCTTCGTCGTGTTAGTTCCTTGTCTGTTCGGGTGGTCTTGTCCTTCCTCTCGTGGTTGTTTCAGGACCGTCATCTTATGCCTAACACTCTCTCCTCATATCGTGCGGCGCTGGCGGAGCCGCTTCAGCTTGCTTTCGGTATTGATGTTACGTCTGCGCCATTTCGCAAGCTGTCTCGTGCATTGTTTCACCTCCGGCCTGCTCATGCGTCACCTGAGCTGTCCTGGTCTTTGGACAGAGTGCTCGCTTTCCTTTCGTCTCCTCGTTTCGTTGTGGCCCCTTCGGTCCAGGATTGTTTTTCCAAGGCACTTTTCTTGTTGGCTTTGGCCTCTGGGGGTCGGGTAGGGGAGCGTCATGCTCTCCTCCGGCGCAGGGGTTTCTGCTCTTTTGGTCGTGGTGATTGTTTTGTTCGTTTGCAGCCGTCTCCTTCTTTTCTCGCGAAGAATGAGACTGCTGCGTTCTGGAAGGGTCCATGGGTGCTTGATGCTTGGTTGGTCAGGTCGGGGGTGCATCATGTTTTGTGTCAGGTTGCGGCGTTATTTGCGCGCCACGGCTTCTGTGTCCGGGGACGCGCTGTAGGTTGATCCAGTTTCCCTTCTTCCCTGTTCGCGGGTTCGGGTCTCCCAGGTCGTCCGCAGGGTTATTAAGTCCAGCCAGCCTGCGGTCCAGCCCCGTGCCCATGACGTTCGTAAGTTTGCGGCTCTTGCTGCCGTCTTTGGGAATATGTCTTGGTCTGATATTCGGGCGCAGGGATTTTGGCGGTCGAACAGGGTCCTGGCTGCTCGTTACCTTGTGAATGTCCCTGGTCCCCGTCGGGCCTGTGTTGCTTTGGGTCGGCGGTTGCAGCCAGTTGTCTCGGCTTTGAGTTGAGGAGTGAGCGACGACCGCCTCCCGGGTAAGTCCCTCTTTTTCCGTCTGTGGGTAGTTAGCTCCGGGGAGCCGACGGGGCTCCCCCCCCCCCCAGAAAACCAGAGTTGAATGTAATGAAACGCCATTTTCTGGGTGAGTCCCGGAGGCTCCCCGGCATCCCTCCCTCCCTCCAGTCGGCGTTTTTTCGCGTTTTTGACATCCAGCCTCAAGAACTGAGGTGTGGGTAGCCGGCGTGGAGGGTCTGGGGCTCCCCCTTCCCCCTCCCGGGGAGGGGGGAGCTGCGCAGACAGCGGCGCGGCGGTGTGTGACTGTCACACTAGTTTGCTTGTTTTCGGTTGGGGAGTTCTATCCACTAGTTCGGCTTTTGGTAGCAATTTTAACCAGAATAGGGGTTTGTTTTGAGGCGCTTACCTTTCTGGGTGCCTGTTCCGGTCGATGGCAGACATAGAATGCTTCCAACCACACGGGGGCTTCTAAAGGCCATTGCTCCCCTTGCCTGTCTGAGGGGGCCCTGTTCAGCCGTGGTCCCCGGTAGGCCTAAGAACTCCATACACATGACTGATGCCAAAGTCTGACATTAGCATATCAGCCTGGGATAGCTCCGGGGAGCCTCCGGGACTCACCCAGAAAATGGCGTTTCATTACATTCAACGCTGGTTTTTTGAACAGAAAGAACCTTTGTAACAAAGCTACTTACTTTTTATTATAGAGCCACAGAGATTCTATAGGAAAGAGATAGTTGGGTTGACTGTGTCTATCTGGACCTAAAAAAGACTTTTGACAGAGTTCCTCACAAGAGGTTGTTTTGAAAACGGCAGTATACTGGAGGGGGGTAACATCCATGCTGACATGGATGAAAAAAAATTTAATTGCCAAAAAAATGAGGGCAGTAATTAGAGAAAAGGTATCTAGAGGAGTGTAACTAGCGGAGTACCACAGGGGTTCAATTCTTGCACCAGTAATGTTCATCTTCTACATAAATTATCTCCAAGAAGGAACACAGAATTATATGAACATGTTGGCTGATAATGCTAAGCTACTAGGGAAGATGGGAAACCTAGACAATTATCCTGCCCTTCAAGATGACGTAGATAAAATAAGTGCTTGGAGCACCATGTGGCAAATGGAATTCAATGTGAATAAATGCCATGTTATGGAATGTGTAATATTAGAAAATAGACCACACATATAACCTACAAATTACACGGAAAGGACGTAAAGAACATTAACAAAGGAAGGGATCTAGGGGTGGTTCTGGATAGTAGATTGTCACCAGAGGAACACATAAAGGGCATTGTGAGAGGAGCAGATGCTGAGCTTCTCAACTTCAGAATTGCTTTTAATATGCGTGGATGGTGAAAGACTTGAAAATGCTCGTGATTTAAAATTGGAATATGCATCAGTTGTATGGTGCCCATATCTCAATGTCAATAAACTGGAAAAGGTGCAGAGGCATGTTACAAATGGCTTTCAGAACTGAAAAAAAAAGATGAGAAGACTAGAGACTAGAGACATTAAATATGCCAAAACTAGAAGACAAAAAAATCGGGGATATGGTCACCACTTACAAAATACTGTAATAACAGGAAGTGACCAGCTAGACAAAGTGGAATTCCTGAAACTGGCAACCTGAAGGACAAGTAGTAGATTGAAGTTAAGAAAACAAAGGTACCAAAAAAGATATTGGAAAATTTTCTTTTGCAAACAGAGTGGTAGACTGTTGAAGCAAGTTAAGTGAGGTGGTGGTAGAGGCCAAAACTGTCAGTAGTTTCAAAATGTTCTGTGACAAAAAGTACATACATACAATGTATATACCTGTATGTATATATATATGTATATGTATTTATTTATAAGGCACAATGGGTGTGAAAATATACATGTTGTAATTAAGTGGTACATTCTTGCAAAGCCACTAGCATGCATTTCAAAAGGGTTAGATCAATGAGTCAAGCATGAATCTTCTCTGTAATGTTTATGGTTTTAACTGGGGAAGGAAGTTGAAAAATTTGCTCTCCAAAAGTTAGTTCGCTTTATTTGGCCTAGTGTGCATGTCACTGAAGAAGGTGTTTTGATCAAACATCCTTCAACATGTGCAGAAACAATGGATGCACTGTACTATATACTGAGCCATGTCTACTATCTTCTATTGAATTTTCAGGACACATATTAGAAACCTGCTCAGCAGATGGCACTCTCAAGCTGCTGGATTTGATGGAGGGAAGGGTTATATACACACTTCATGGTCACCAAGGAGCGGTCACGTGTTGTGGCTTTGCACGTGACGGCGAATATTTTGCCTCGGGTGGTAAAGACCAACAGGTATTTTTAATTGCTTGAGTAATTTTCAGCTCCTCCTCCATCTATATACAGTACTGAGAAGCAATGAAATATACTTTTTTTTTTTTTTTCATTTTTATATAAATATGTATTTAAAATGATTTGGTCTTTTATCAGTTTGTATTGTATATTCACATTGTTATTTTGTTGGCATGCAACATGAGATGGTAGAATATTGGTTCACATTTATTTTTCTGGGTAAGATATTTGCAGTTGAAGGTCTTTAAAAATATTTTGATTATTTTATGACAAGAACATGATTGGAACCTTTTACTAGGCATGGAATGATCATGTATTTCTGTGACTTTTCACTTGGGTAGAGGGTTGAGGACTCACTTTGTCACTTTAGTAGATGTCACTCAAACTACTTTGATTGTTGGTGGAAGCTTACCACATACCAGCTCCAAGAGGCCTTGTTTATAACTACAGTACTGTACATGTAGTTGCTGGAAATATAAGCATGATTGTACAACAGTTAAACTGAAGAAAGAGGAGTGATGTGAATACTGGTGTGGCAGATTTACACAATAGAATAAACTAGTGGGCAGAGAAAGCAGGGATACCCCTGGCTGGATACTTGTTTTTATTAAGCAGTTGCTACCAGCAAGAGACAACTTTCTGACAACCTAAATCTTGTAGAGTTCAAAACCCTGGTACTTGAGCTGTGTGTTTTGAGAAAGTTCGATCCAGTCATGCCCCTGAAACTGATGTAGAACTGAGGAGCCATTGTACAATGTCTTAAACAAAATTGCTTTATATTATGTATTCCTTATTTTTTGTGATTGTGATTTGTAAGTATTGTGTGAGTAACGACAGTTTTAAGATTTTTTCTGGGAGGAGCCCCTATGGCTCCCCAGAGCTATCCAGGGTGATGTGATTATCCCTAACTTTGATATCAGTCGATGTGGGTGGAGTTCTAGGCCTACCAGGAACCACGAGCCAGAACCTGGCCCCCTCAGAGAGGCACAAAGAGCAATAGCCTATTGAAATGCACATGTGATTTGGAGCATTCTATATCTGCTATCGACCGGGACAGGCACCCAGAAAGGTGAGTGCCCCAAAACAAACCCCTATTCTGGTTGAGAACGACGAACATACACAAACGAGTGGACACAACTTCCCAAATGAAAACGAGCAAACAAGTATGACGTCACGAGCCACGCCGCATGTCAGTGCAGCTCCCCCCTCCCTGGGAGGGGGAAGGGGCAGTCCCAGACCCCAGTTCTTCGACTGATGTGATCCGGCATGGTCCTGCTTCCGGCTCCTAAGCCTCTGAGGGCTTTGGGGTCAGGGCAGGGTTTAGAGGTTTCCGAGACGCGGGTGGTTTTGGTGGTTGCTCCTTATGGGGTGGCGATGGAGGCATTCGAGTCTGTTCCTCAAGCCGTAGCTTGGGTCCGACCAGTGGGCCCACTCTCTTCCTGCTATTTCGACCACCCCGGCCTTTTCTTGTGAGGCTGGGGCTTAGGAGGATGACTCGCCCCTGGGGCCCGATGTGGAGGTTTCCGGGGTTGGGGAGGAGCTGACTTGTGGGTCTTGGGCCCCATTGAACTCTGCCTGGGTTTTCCGACCCTCCGAGCGGGGCTTACTGTTACAAGGAGTGGGGATTTCCTTCCCCCCCCCCTCTGTGTACGAGTTGGATTTGAGTTCGGTTCCGTCCTTCCAGAGGTTTTGGCTTCTCGAGTCTCGCCTACTGAGATGCGGGCGGCCACTGCGGCTTACCTCATGCGCAACCTGGAGTATGCCTCTATAATGGTTCCGTCTTCCTTCAGGTTTGGATCTTTTGGATCCAAATTCCTTGCGTTTGGATCCAGATTCCTTACATTTGGATCAGGTTTGGCTCTGGTCCTGCGTTTCATTTCCCTCCTGGAGCTGTCTTCGGATTGGCTTGAGGAGGATGTAGAGGCGCTTGGGGCCGTTCCTGGGTCTGGCGCCTTGGTCTCGGCTGCTTGTGCGTCGTCTGCGCTTTTGAAGCTGTTTGCGCTGTTCCTGTGGAATGTGCTGTCACCGTTTTTTGCTGCGCGTCTCGTGTGTAGACGGGTGGTGCTCACTTCCTCCTTGGAATCCGCTTGCGCCCTGGCTCTTAGGTTGTCTTCTCCCTTTTGTCCTTTGCTATTTGCAGCCTCTGCGGTCGAGCAGTATATGTAAGTGGCTTCTTCCAGCTGCCACCCTATATCTGACTTGTTGGTTCTCTGGGGGTCCCAGGTGGATTCTTCCCGGAGGAGTCATGCCAGGGCTTGCGGTTCCGCTCGTCAGGGTAGGCCATAGGTGCCGGTTTCGGAGCCGATGTTGCCTTTGGTCCTGGCTGCGCCTGGTCAGCGCGAGTTCGCTCTGTGTGCAGGTCGGATTCTCGTAAGGGGCATCGGCCCTTTTGCAGTTCGCCCCATTAATGGGGCGATGGGGGGGGGGGAATGCTTGTTCTGTTCGCTCACGCCTGGTCTCACGATTCGAGCGCTTTTTGGGTCGTTTCTCGCGGCCTGCTGTGGCATTGGGTGGCTCCTCCTCCTCCTTCGGGGGATTGGGGCTGGTAGGGCAGAACTCTTCTCCTGCGCTCTGTCAGATCGTCTTGGAGTGGGTGTGCTTGGGCGTGGTTGAAAGGACGACGTCTCTCAGGTAGGTTTCCCTCCTGTTTCCAGTCCCGAAACAGGACTGTGCGGACCTGCGGTTCATTCTGGACTGGTCCCGTCTGAACCTGGGTTCCTTGCCCCCTCCTTTCGGATAACCACTCTGTCACAGGTCTGGCTTCTGTTGGAGCTTCTCTCTCTATCCTAGGTCCGGCTTCTCTCGCTATTGTTGGGTTTGACCCCCGGGGGTCTTATGTCGGCTACTGTGTCGCTGGCTTCCTCTTTGGGTTTTTCGAGGTTCAGTGCCTTGGTGCCAACCCGAGCCCTCGCTCGATGTGTTCACAGACGGGTCGTCCCTTGGCTAGGGCTTTTGTGACCAGTACTCACCAGGCCGGTCAGGGGCTGTGGGGCCCACAGCACGGCGCAGGAGTTTGTGACGATGTGGTTTGCGCTTCGGAGGGTTTGGGTCGCCCGCAGATTGACGATTCAGCTCCATTCGAACTGTTCCCTGGTGGTTCATTGCCTGAATCAAGGGGGTTCGATGAGGTCCTTGGCTCTTGGGGCTGATCGCAACGTTTGACTTGTCTGTTGAGTTCTCGGGGCTTGGCTCTCCTGGTGGTTCACGTCTGGGGGATGTCCAACGTCCTGGTGGACGGCCTATCCCGGTATGTTCCCTATCCACGGAATGGACAGTCGATGTTGGTTCTGCCAGATGTTTGGGCACCCAGAGGTGGACCTCTTCACGTCAGCATGGTGGAGGCGTCTTCCGGATATGTGGCGCCCTTCTCTGACCGCAAGGCCATCGGGATCAACACCTTCCGGCAGGACTGGTCGAAGTGGGAGTTCCTGTACCTATTTCGCCCAGTTCAGCTGTTGCTCCAGGTCCTGGCTCGCTTGGAGACTTGCCTGGGGCAAGTAGTTCTCTTGGCCCCATGATGGCCAGCCCAGCCGTAATTTTAGGTGCTGCTTGCTTGGTGTCCGAACCCGGAGGTTTTTCCCGCGGCTTTGCGTCTTTCAACAGATCGGCCCGGTCTGGTATGAGACTGGTTCGCTCTTCTCCTCGAGTCTTCGCGTTTGGTGTGTGTGACTCAAGTTTATCACCATCAGTATGGTGATCAGATGGCTTCTTTGATAGTGTTCCACCTGAGGGTTTCGTCTCGGCGGCAGTATGAAGTTTCCTGGCTGTCCTTCCGTTTCTTTTTTATTCTTTGGCGTTGTACCTCACTTTTGGTTCAGGTGGCATTGTCCTTTCTCTCATGATTGTTCCAGGACCGTCATCTCATGCCGAATACTGTCGAATACAGTACTGTTCGGCGCTGGCAGAGCCGCTGCAGCTTGCTTTCGGTATAGATGTTACTTCTGATCCATTTTGCAAGCTGTCTCATGCGTTGTTTTACCTCCGGCCTGCTCATGAGCCACCTGAGCCATCCTGGTCTTTGGACAGAGTGCTCTCTTCTCTCTTCTCCTCGGTTTGTTGTGGCAACCTTCGGTCCAGGATTGTTTTTTAAGGCTCTTTTTTCCTGATGGCATTGGCCCCTGGAGAGTCAGACTGCAGAGCTTCATGCTCTTCTCTGGTGCAGGGGTTTCTGCTCTTTTGGTCGTGGTGATAGGTTTGTTAGTCTCCAGCCGTCTCCTTTTCTGGCGAAGAATGAGACTGCTGCTTTTTGGAGGAGTCTTTGGGTTGTTGATGCTTGGTTGGTCAGGCCAGGGTTGCATCATGTGTTGTGTCCGGTGCCGGCCCTCCGCTGTTATTTGCGCTCCACGGCTTCTGTGTCTGGGGACACGTTTTGGGTTGATTCGATTTCCCTTCTTCCCTGTTCGCGGGTATGGGTCTCTCAGATCGTCTGCAGGGTTATTAAGTCTAGCTAGCCTGTGGTTTATCCCCGTGCCCATGACGTCCGTAAGTTTGCTGCTCTTGCTGTGGTCTGAAGAAAACCAGTGTTAAATGTAATGAAACGCCATTTTCTGGGCGAGTCCCGGAGGCTCGCCAGCAACCCTCCCTCCCTCCAGTCGGCGGGTTTCGCGTACTTTGATATCCAGCCTTAGAACTGGGGTGTGGATTGCTGGTGCAGGGGTCTGGGGCTCCCCCTTTCCCCTCCCAGGGAGGGGGAGCTGCGCAGATGTGCGGTGCGGCTCGTGTGACGTCATGCTCATTTTCATTTGAGGAATTCTGTCCACTCGTTTGTCTATTTTCGTCATTTTTAACCAAAATAAGGGTATGTTTTGAGGTGCTTACCTTTCTGGGTGCCTGTTCTGGTCGATGGCAGATATAGAATGCTCCAAATCACATGTGCATTTCTATAGGCCATTGCTCCTCGTGCCTCTGAGGAGGCCAGGTTCTGGCTCATGGTCACTGGTAGGCCTAGAACTCCACCCACATCGACTGATGCCAAAATTAGGGATAATGATATCAGCCTGGATGGCTCCGGGAAGCCTCCGGGACTCACCCAGAAAATGGCGTTTCATTACATTCAACGCTGTTTTTTTTATCATTGTCTCATTTCTAATTCTATGTTTTATGTAACATGTATTTCATGCATAAATCAAATTACAATAAGCTCATTTTGAAATCAGTTCAGTTCAGTATGTTGCTACTAGTTATGGGGGAGATTTATGTTCATGTGTCCTCTATGGTATGATTCAGGCTACAGCCCTGCAAAATTTCATGTGTGTCCACAAAATATGTGTTACTGCATGTCCACAAAATATGTGTAACTGCATGTCCACAAAATGTGTAACTGTGTGTCCATGCAACCCGTTCTCGCAAATTTAATAAGTCAATATTGACTTATTAAATATGTGCATAGGTGACATACTTAACATAATAGATACCCTTAAAAAGATTCATAGAAAACACCGACCTTACCTAACCTACTTAGTATGTTAAGATAAGCATCTTATTGCTTCGTAATTACAATTATTACCTAACCTATAATAGGTATAGGTTAAGTAATAATTGTAATTACGAAGCAATAAGATGCTTATCTTAAGATACTAACAAGGTTAGGTAAGGTCAGTGTTTTCTATGAATCTTTTTAAGGGTATCTATTATGTTTAGTATATCACCTATGCACGTAGTTAATAAGTCAATATTGACTTTACGAATTTGCGAGAACGGGTTGGTCCATGAAGTGTAGGCATGAATTGTTAAATAACTTAAGTGTCCTAGCTCTGAAACTATTAACATTTAACTCATGAGATTTGACTCAAATCTTAAAATAATTTCAATGATTGGGATGTGAAATAATTTCCAGGTGATGGTCTGGAAAACTAATTTCAAGCCAGTAGACTTGTGTGGAGGCCTGGAGGAGACGGAAGAGGCCGACCACCAAACGCCACACGAAGTGACTGTTGCATTGTCACCAGATGACTCTGAGGATGAGGAGAGAATTACCACAGTGCAGAGTCGGAGGGACCCTGAGACTTTTCAGGATTCTGACACTGTAGGCAGTAATAAGGTATGTTGTACAGACTTAATAAATACTTTTATTGCGTAGAGATTCTTACGTGAATTCGGTGATGTGTAATACATTATTTATCTTTCATTATGCATTTGTGCTCCATAGGAGTAGCTATACCATTATTCTTCTTGTTTACAAATTAATCTTTTCCAACATCAGATTAATTCTAATCTTGCACCTGTTTCTATTTACCATAATCACAGTGTACAGTATTACCAGTCTTCACCTCTCAGCCTTGTATAATTAGTGTAGAGTTTAGTGGGTTAATACAGATACACCAACTACAGCTACTAGGCTAGTTTATTGCACCCTTTTTTCTGTGGAGAGCCCCTTCGGCTTCCTGGAGCTATACTGGGCTCATGTGTATATATTAGACCATGGCAACAGTCAATCGAAGAAGTTCTAAGCCTACCGGGGATCAGAGCCAGAACCTGGCCCCCTCAAGAGAGGCACGAGGAGCAATGGCCTAAAGACACCTCCGTGTATTGGTTTGAGGTGTTGGGAGGCATTTGGAAGGTCATTAATGTAGATGAGAAAGAGGAGAGGTCCAAGTATGCTGCCCTGAGGAACACCAATGTTGATGGGTAGGGTGGGAGAAATTGAATTACTGTATTCGCAGAAATGTACTGGAGCCTGTCAGTAAGATAAGATTTGAGGTACTGCAGGGAGTGACCTCTGACTCCATAATGATGTAATTTAAGAAGAAGGTTTTGGTGGTTGACAGTGTCAAAAGCCTTACGCAGGTCTACAAATAACCCAACAGGGAACTCATTTTTATCAAGAGCTGCATGTATCAAGTTAATCATACTAATAAGTGCATCGTTAGTGCTTTTTTTGGGTCTGAAGCCATATTGACAAGAGCTAAGTATATTGTGTTTGGCTAGATAAGAGTAAAGCTGCTTGTAGAATAGTTTTTCAAATATTTTTGACAAGTTTGGCAGGATTGATATAGGTCTGTAATTGTTAACATCAGTGAGATCACCACATTTGTAGACAGGGGTTACTCTCGCTTTTTTTTTGATATCTGGAAAGGTTTGGAGTTCAAGTGACTTGTTGAAGAGCAATGCAATAGCAGGGGCTAAAGATCTGGAGGCTTTTTTGTAAATTAAAGTTGGTATCTCCTCAAGGGCACTAGACTTGGTTTTAAGGGAAAGGATTATCTCATTAACATCAGTGGAATTTGCAGGCGTTAGGTACAGAGACTGTGGATAGTTACCTGTAAGATAGTCCTGAACATCAGTACTGGAAGATGGAATATCATTTGCAAGGGATGACCCAATGGAAGAGAAGAACCTATTGAACTCAATAGCAGTATCAGAGGCTGTAAGCTGACCATCGTTATTGGACAGGAGTATTGGTTTGTTATTTAAAATCTTCTTTGATCTCAATATTTGTGAAATTGTGCTCCATGTTTTCTTAATGTTGCCCTTTGTTTGGGTAAATTTATCTTCGTAGTATTTAGTTTTGGCTCTTCTAATTATTTTAGATAGCAATGATGTAGTAATTCTTTTAAAATTCTTTGGAGACGATTCCTAACCTATACTTCTTCTCAAGGTCATGTTTTTTATTAATGGATTTAAGTATTCCCTTTGTAAGCCAAGGATTGTTTAGCCTTTTAGTTGTGACTTGTTTCGTTAGCATAGGACAGTGGGTGTTATAAAGGCTGAGAGATTTTTGAAGAAAAGATTGCACTGCTAGGTTGATGTCCCCTATGTTACCTAATTCGGACTCCCAGTTGACATTAGCAGCAGCAGCTATAAAATTGCCTATAGCAGTTTCATTGTGCAGCCTAAAGCTTATCTCCCTTGTCTCCAGAGGTGGTTTGTTAATGTTAGTTAGGAGAAATGTGGGGTAATGGTCTGTAGTGCTATCGATGATTATCCCTGAAGTAAGCGGAGAGGTTATGTTGGTCCAGATGTGATCAAGAGTAGTACTACAAGGCAGTACTATCAGTGATTCTAGTAGGTCTAGTGATTAAGGGTATGAGGAAGCAGGAATTCATACAGTTGAGGAAGCTGGCAGCAGTAGGGTTTTTAGGCTCGCAGAGGTCAATATTAAAGTCCCCTGCGATAATTAGATGGTTTTTGTTCAGTCTGTTATCTAGTATTAGATTTCTAAGGTTAGAGTTGAATTCGGACACATCAGTGTTAGGAATTCTATAGACTGCTCCCACAGTCAGGACAGACTCAGCACCCTTGACTCTGAAACTGGCGAAGATATACTCCCCACAGTAAGTTCTAATTACTTTTAAGCATGTTAGTTCTTGGCGGTAGTAAAGAGCAGTACCACCACCTCTCTGAATTGGTCGACAGTTGTGAATTGCTGAGTAGTTCGGCATGTTAAAGAGTTGAGTAGTATCCTCTTTTAACCACGTTTCAGTAAGTATAATAAAAGACAGTTTGTTGTCAATAGTTTCAATCAAGGCACTAACATCATCGAAGTGTTTGCTTAGAGATCTTACATTCAAGTTAATTACAGAGATATTGTGATTGTGTTAATACATTGTTTACATCATGTGCTGTAAAATATCTGCAATTTTGATCATTAAAGTGATGATTGTCATAGATAGGGATAAGAGGTTTAGTTCTGGGTCTATACTTGTTTGCATAAGAAGGCTGGTTGTAGGAAAACAAGGCAAGAATGGCAATTACAAAATAAAATTTTGATATAAAAGGGGGGGGAAATAAAAATATAAACAAGACTATACAAGACAAACACAAAATGAACAAAAAAAAAAGAAAAATGAGGTAGATTGCTTACAAGTACTCTCAGGTACACTGTAAGTAATAATTTGCATTTTGAGACACAGGCAAAGCCAGGGGTACAATGGAGTAAGGGAGTATGGCGAGGCTAGGCAACCTAGGTAATAAATGAAAGCAAAGAAAAGAGTTGAATAATAAACATAGGCAAATTTAATCTAATGGTTATTAACTATAAATAGTTTAGTTATGATCCTATAATTAATAAGAACTAAAGAAAGTATTAATGCACTCAATTAATTAAGTCCAATAAATGACTAATAAAAAGTAATTAAAATTTAATTTAAAAAGTGTAACAAAGAGACTTTGGATACCTAGCCCGCACTAGGTGACAAGGGGGTTAATTATGTTGACTCATTGAGAGGGATAATAAGGTGAGACAAACCACATTGGGAGAGGAAAGTGTTGAGGTTATCCTCATTAGCAATTGTAAACATTTTACCTCCTGAAGTCTTTCTCACTTTAATCATGCAATCTCTAACGAAGCATTGATGAATCGCATCTGGGTTTTGATAACGGATTTGACGCAGGCGGTGGAGGAGTTGCTGTCTTTTTCTAGTCAAGCACTCGTTGATGTTGATTCCCTTTCGTTGGGATGCAGCTGTCCGGACAAGATGCGATTTTATGGACGAAAGCTAGCTTGAGGCGAATTTTTCGCTGGTTTTGTCCTGATGGATTCTTTTTGCCTACTCTGTAGGCAGCAATAATGTCTGTTTTATTTAGCGTGACACGCAATTTGTCTTTTATGAGAGCATGAACTACTTCAATACACATTTCACCTTCACGTTCCACAGGAATATCTTGGAACGACACAACAACAGAGTCAAGCAGCTTTTGCTGGTCTTGTTCATCCTGGGAGATGGAATGTTGGGAGGATAATGTACTGATACATGCAGTCATTTTGTTGAGAGCTTCCTCTTGTTTTTTTTTATGGCTTCATCTGTTTTCAGACGTATGTTTTCCTCACGGAGATCATTTAAGTCATGCTGGAGTTGATCTTGGCTAGCCTTATAGTTTCTAATATCCTCGCGGAGAAGGGTTATTTCTTGTTGTTGATGATGAAGGTTCGCGCGGTTAGCTTGATTCTCAGTTTGAAGACTCAGGATGATCGTATTTTGAGTCTCAAGGACTAGGCACAACTTTTTGAACCACTGATTCTCGGCCCAGTTAGGGAAATCCAGTGAGGGACCAGAAGCATGCTTGAATTTCGTAAAGTGGGATGTAAGCATGGAATCAGGAGAGGATTGAGAGGACACAGCTCCCTGGCTCAGTGATGGGTTAGAGGGGAGAGCAGCACCGCCGCCGCGGGCCCCAGAGCTTCCAGACGGAGAAACACGAAGGCTGTCAGAGTTGGTCGGTATTGATACCTTGTTAGGAGCTTTGTTGCTCTTATTTCCCTGCGCAGTCTTGTTTTTGGATGACATGATTGGTTGAGAATGGACTAGGGTATATGTTGTGGCGGAAACTTGCGTTAGGCAGCGCGGTGGTGGGCAGAGGCGGGCAGCAGGCACTGGTACTCACAGCCGGAGAGGATTGTTTTGAATTTTGTTTGAGATGAAATGAGTTGATTTGGGTTGGTTACTTTGAATGTGTTATGACATGCTTGGACTCCATGTACTTAGCTGCCTGTGGGTGGTGGTGAACATCATCTGGGGGTAGTTTGAGGGCTGAAATACAGCTTAGAGTGAGGAGCATAGCGAGCACTCAACAGCGTCAGACGATGTTTTCCTTCTCTTTGGGTATGAAGCTCCAGGGAGCTGTAGGGGCTCCCCACAGAAAACCAACGTTGAATGTAATGAAACACAGTTTTCTGGGTGAGCCCCAGAAGGCTCCCTGGCAACCCTCCCTCCCACTGGTCGGCGTTTTTTTCGCGTTGGTTGAAGCTTAGCTTCTGAACTGATGCTAGGCAGCCGGCGTGGTGAGGTCCGGGGCTCCCCCTCCGCCTCTCGGGGCGGGGAGGGCTGCACGGACAATCGGCGCGACAGTAAAGTGTGATGTTTGCTTGTTTCCTTGGGATTGTAGGGAGTTTCTACCTCTGTTCATTTTTTAGTTTTAGTTTTTTACCATGTGAGGTTTGTTTTGTTATGCCTACCTTTCTAGGTGCCTAACCCCGGCCGATGGCAGATAAGGAAAACCCCAACCTCAAGGGGGTTTTCCAGGGCAATTGCTCCCTGAAACCTCTCTGAAGGGGCCAGGTTCTGGCACTGGTCCCTGGTAGGTCTGAACTCCTTAGCTAAT